GTGATGAATTGGGCGATTGGGATTGACATGTATACACTGATGTGTATAAAATGCATGACTAATAAGAACCTGCTGTATTAAAAAAAAAATTATTCAAGTCATCCAATGATGGAATGACCCAGTTGATTGTATGACTGATTTGACCAATAACAGTGATGTGAGTAAAAAAAAAAAAACCTGTATCTCCACTTCATAATAAAACGTCTCTACCAAAAATGGAAAAATACAGGGCGGGGCGGGGGGATTATTATGCTAGAATGGCTTTCTTTTTAGAACACTACAACAACCTCAGAATAAAGAAAAACAAGAAGAGGGTGGAGACTCTTGATGTATACCAAAAATCAAAAGAACCTGAACGCCTAAGACCAGAGGCAGAAGGCATGAGCAAAGCTGGCAGGGTATGCCACATAAGGGAGGGGTGCGGAGTGCGGAAAACGAGCACACAGGCCCCGTGTCTATAGAGCAGGCTCTACTCAGCTCCTGCTACTGCTGGATTTTTCTGAGTTTTTATAGGAACTCAGAAATACAAGTTGTTATTTGAAATCTCATGATCTTCAAACGTTGGTGACTAACAGAAATTATGTTGGTAAAACCCGGCATATGCAGATGTACATTTTGCTTTTAATTCCATAATTTTTTTCAATTCTATAATCTAAAAGAGGAAAGAAAAGGGAAAGAGAAGAGAAGAAAAGAAAAACATGCACAGAAGAATTTTTTCTTAAGATTTCAGTTCCTCTTAGGAAAACAGACTATGCTTGAGGGAGGGTGCCCCCTTCTATGCAAACACTACAAGCTGGAATGAATTATGGGGTCAAGGGTCAGGAATTTCTTTTCTTTACAGTTAAGGCAATTTCTCCTTTGCCAACTCCTGACCATTCAGCCCCAGGGAGTTTTATATGTGAAAAACAAAAACCTACAATCAACCTTAGAATGTTCCTAGTACAAACCCTATTTTACAAGGTAACTGAAGCTCAGAAGTGGGAAAGCAACTGACAAGGTCCCACAGTGAGTTTCCCAGATGCAGTGGGACAGAAAGGAGTCAGGTCTCCAGGTCTGGAGCCCTTCCCTCCAGACCAATGGCTCCGTTAACTCTTCTATCAGTACTGCAGATAGGAGAATCACCTTCAGAAGCATGACCGTGCCCTGTGACCGGTCACCCCTGCTCTGCTCCACATCCACAGTGCATTCTGTATTCATGAGCTCCCGCCCTGTGTCCAACGCTGGGGCGAAAGCAGCCACTGGACACTGACCACCTTCTGAGGCTCCTACCAGAGGGGGACAGAGATTTACAAACACACCATTGTGGTCACGAGGCTTAAGTGTTATAGAAGTGGTATGAACATGTGGATGAGGAAGAGAGAGAAGAAAATGTGTGATCGGCCTAAGAGTTGATCAGTTTCGAGAGAGAGAGATGTGAGCCAATTCTTTGTTTTTCTTAATGTCTTTTATCTTTTTCTTTTTTTTTTTTTAACGTGAGCCAATTCTTAAAAGGACAGGAGGAAGTCACAAAGCACGAGTGCATGTGTGCACACACGCAAAGGAGCCACTCAGAGACTGTCTCTGTCCAAGGGGGACAATATCTGCTTCATGACTTACAGCAACTGGAATGCGAGGGTTTGCCGTAAATTAAGGTCTGAGGATTATTTATAGCCTTCATGTTTCTTTCTTAGTCTTCAAGCTCGACAGCTATGGGATGGCTCCCGGGTGACAGGGGTGGGTGGTCGCCAGCTTCAAGCCAGCCAGGCAGATGTAAGCTTCTTACCCCTTACTGTGGGGCCTTGGGGAGGTGACTTAACCTCTCTGAACCTCTGTGTTTTCATCAGTAAAATGGACACAACTGCAGCCCTTCCTCACAGCATCATTATAAACATTAACACACAAAAAAAGGCTTACAACAGGACGGGCACACTGTAAGTTCTGCTTTTAGTAGTATTCTCACCAACACTATTATTATACATGTTTTTTCAAATTGCAATTCCTCCCAGAAGTTTACTTAGAACTCACCAGTTTTTCCTCCTATAATAGGATTCCCAATTCATTAAATCTGGGCTATTCAACGCAGAAGCTACGAACCAGAGGTGGCCGCTTAAATTGATTAAAAATTCAGTTCCTCAGGCACATCTGCCACTTTTGCAAATGCTCAGTGGCCACACATGACTTGTGACTATCCCACTGCACAGTGCAGGCCTAGAACATTTCCACAGCTGTCGTTTAATTATTTCATGGATAGTCTGGGTGACTATTCCTCTTAATGTAGACTCTGGCTTAACTTCTTTTTTTTTTTTTTTAATTGACTTATTTTATTTCTGGCTGCGTTGGGTCTTCGTTGCTATGTGCAGGCTTTCGCTAGTTGTGGCGAGTGGGGGCTGCTCTTCATTGCGGTGCGCGGGCTTCTCATTGCGGTGGTTTCTCTCGCTGTGGAGCACAGGCTCTAGGCGCGTGGGCTTCAGCAGTTGTGGCATGTGGGCTCAGTAGTTGTGGCACATGGGTTCAGTAGTTGTGGCTCACGGGCTCAGTAGTTGTGGCTCACGGGCTTAGTTTCTCCATGGCTTGTGGGATCTTCCCAGACCAGGGCTCGAACCCGTGTCCCCTGCATTGTTGGCAGGCAGATTCTCCACCACAGCACTACCAGGGAAGCCCTGGCTTAACTTTAATTATTAGTATTTATGTCACTTAGATCAATTCCTCTTCACGACAGCCCTGCCAGTTTGGTAGCACTAAGATCATTATTCCCATTTCAGTAAATGAGGAGACAAGGCACAAAGAGGTTAACTTGCCCACAGCCTCAAGGCCACAGTAGAGCTGGCACTTCCCTATGTAATTCTGAGAGAGAAAATAGATTCACGCACAGAAACGTCCCCCTCTCACAGTCCTGGTCATTTAACCATTGCTAGGTTTCTTCCCGTGAAAGCAATAGTCTTGTTTTATTCAACCTCAAATCCCCAGGGCCCACTTCGGCATCCATCACCTGCACGAATCGATGACTACGTGCCCATGAATCCTCGCTGAAATGGCATCAGACCTGCTGGGCATCCCGTTTCCTCCACCGCTAGGAGACTTGAGCTCATGGTCCACTAAAACACCTCTCATTTTTTTAAGTCAGAAGAGTAGCTAGCCTGCAGCAGAGAATTTTAGAGCTAGAAGGTTCCTGAGACAAGATCCAAGATGGCATCGATTTTTGCATCTAGTTAGCTGGTCCTGGCTGCTGAGGGAGGGCGGAGTCTGCCAGAGACTGTGCACTCTGAAAAGGGTGCATGGTGACCAACTACCCAAGTCGCAGTGGGCAGTGGGTAGGAGGGCAGCTGTCTCTCACCACAGACCTAAACCCATTCTTTTACAGATGAGAAAATTGAGACCAGAAGGGAGCATGCCTCAGCCACACAACCACCTCCAGGCAGAGCTTGGCACTGTCCTACGGGCAACAGCCTAGGAGGGCAACACCCTCAGGCCACAGGGGCAAACAGTCCTAACGTGTGGAAAAAGAAATCCAAGGAAAATCCCCAAATCCTAGAGCACGGTATCCTATCTGGGTCACTGCCCTTGTTCCCCAAAGAGATCTGAAAAACCCACTGGAAATTTCTGCACAGGCCCACTTTGAGCTGCCCTTCTTGTCCTATGCAAATGACAGCCGCAGCAAGGCAGCTTGCTAAATGCCAAGCACGCGGCGTGAGAAAAACGACAGCCTTTGTCCCCCGGGTGTGGACGCCATTCCCACTGGCCTTTTACCTGTTCTTTATTGTTATTGTTCAGTAAGCCGGGTTTCTTTTTCTTTTTAATGGGGCTTGTTGATGTGTCCTGTGGCGAGTGGCCATTGGAGGAATGCGGAGGGCTGGGGAACTTTCTTTTCTGGGCTGTTCTCTCTGTGGAGCCAGGATCTGAAAAAGACACACAGGACCACATACTTTAAAGCGATCGGGGAGGACTAGGCCCCACGGGAAGGGGGTGTTAGGGACACAACCCATTTTGTCCCCAAACCTAATGCCATTTTAGTGACCTTCCTCCTAGAATATACTCCCCCCCCACCCCCCATCTTTGTTGCCTGTCTCAGAGGTCAGTTGGTCTTTCTTTAGCCGACATAACATTTCTGTAAAAGTTTTAATTCGCTGCCAAAATATAAAAATTAAGAAACATCACATAATATCCTAGATTTGGGGCTTCTAGTTTAAAAAAAAATCAGGGCCTGCAGGGCCTTATGGGACCAGATAGAGCTGAATACCAGCCAGCCACTTTTTAGATGGGAAAATACCCCCCATTTTGTCACAGTCCCCACCCTTCCCTACTGTGTCCCTGTTGACGAGGCCATGACCCAGCTGCCGTGAGCTGTCACACATCCATGTCTGATGGCAAAAGCAGGAAACCATAAGAGACAGACCAAGAAAAGAAGGCCACACACTTCAAGAAAATGAAGGCAAACATACTTTGTGGTGGAAGACAACATTTATTCATGTTTAGCAGGTTAAAAAAAGTATAACTGTGTAAAAAAAAAATACCCCACCCACCAGAGTCCCCGTGGCCCAGTCACCAGTAGGCATCATGTTTGCGACTCTCCTCCAAAGAGATCAACGCAAACTACATTCTCACCCGATTCTCATCTGAAAAATGCCAACCCCACCCTTGTCAATCCATTATTTTCTATTTTTATTCTCCCAGCATCTCATTAAAACACATACACTTGGGGCTTCCCTGGTGGCGCAGTGATTAAGAATCCTCCTGCCAATGCAGGGGACACAGGTTTGAACCCTGGTCCAGGAAGATCCCACATGCCTCAGAGCAACTAAGCCTGTGTGCCACAGCTACTGAGCCTGCGCTCTAGAGCCTGCAAGCCCAACTACTGAGCCCGCGTGCCACAACTACTGAAGCCCGCATGCCTAGAGCCCATGCTCCACAAGAGAAGCCACTGCAATGAGAAGCACACACACCGCAACGAAGAGTAGCCCCCGCTCGCCACAACTAGAGAAAGCCCGTGCGCAGCAGCGAAGACCCCATGCAGCCAAATATAAATAAGTAAATAAATTTATAAAAAACAAACAAAAAATATAGATTATTGCGTTTAAAAAAAAACCAAACTTCCACCACCATCCAATCTTCACCTGCGAAGATTTTAATCCATTCCATGCCAGATGGCTGTCCTGTTAACTTAGGGAAGATACAATGGAATGCCCAGGGGCACCTTCTATCCTTGAGGAATGAAAGCTACAGGCACCAGAAGAGGAGAAAGCTATGCCGAGAGCACAGGTGATGAGACGGGACGCGGAGTCCGGAAAGATGACTATCCACAAAGATGGCCTGATGACGTTCCCCGTCCAGGGTTACCTCTCAGGCAAGTCCCAGCACACAGGCTGTGCTGTGTGTCACAGCCCTTTGTCTGGACAGGAGCCGCTGGGGCAAGACCAACAGGGTCCAAGATGGCCACATGCAAGTCCTCCTAGTGGTTTACTTTTGACTGAAAGCTGGAGCATCCTCCAGCAGGCTCATAAAGACAATGGACCACTTTTGCAAAATCCAAACTACACAAGGGAATTCCCCAGGCTCACCATGCAGACTGCAGGAAAATCCTGAACAAATGTTCAGGTTGCTGCACTGAGACACAGCCCCTAGAGGAAATTAAATGCTAACCACAGACACCTTGAGGGAGAAGAGACCCCAGAGTCAGGGGACCATCCCACAGACATCGAAACAGCGGCCTGGAGAACCCAAAGGGTTGGCCCAGCAGCACACAACAGCTAGTTAGTGGGAAAATGCACTAAAAAGATGCAGCCTGGGATTGGCAAGCTTCCCCAGAGAGCACCTCCTCTCATTCCCACAGGGATCCTCACCCCACTTCCCCACCGTACGTAAAAAAGTCTCACTTTCTCTATAGGGTCTTTGACCCAACCATCTCCTCCTAGAAGCACGTTCTATAGACATGGTCACAGGGCAGCAAAGCACATGCAAGATGATTCAACTGCAGCACTGTGTGTTATACTGAAGACTAGAAAGGACTTACGTGTCCACAAACTGGGAGCTGGCCTGATAACATACTGCGGGATACAGCCATGAAGAAGAATGAGGCACCTCTAGACAAACTGACGTATGACAATCTCCAAGCTTCTGCATCAGGTTAAAAGAGCAACACATGAAAATACCAATGGCATTCTTCACAGAACTAGAACAAATAATTTTAAAATTTGTATGGGAACACAAAAGACCCCGAATAGCCAAAACGATCTTAAGAAAGAACAGCGCTGGAGGAATCATGCTCCCTGACTTCAGATTATACTACAAAGCCACAGTAATCGAAACAGTATGGTATTGGAACTTCGCTGGTGGCACAGTGGTTAACAATCCGCCTGCCAATGCAGGGGACACGGGTTCGAGCCCTGGTCTGGGAAGATCCCACATGCCGCGGAGCAACTAAGTCCGTGTACCACAACTACTGAGCCAGTGCTCTAGAGCCTGCGAGCCACAACTACTGAGCCCACGTGCCTAGAGCCCGTGCTCCGAAACAAAGAGAAGCCACCGCAATGAGAAGCCCACACACCACAATGAAGGGTAGCCCCTGCTCGCCGCAACTAGAGAAAGCCTGCGTGCAGCAGTGAAGACCCAACGCAGCCAGAAATAAATAAATTTATCAAAAAAAAAAAAAAGCAATGCATGTCTAGCACCATTAACAGACTAACACACACAGCCCAAGAAATATGGGGGTTTTTGTCTTTCTCTTTTTTGTCTTTATCTTTCTGTTTTATTTTGTCTTCTATTTTTTCCTTTTTTTAATTTTTTTTGAAAAAGATGTTTTAAATATATTCATAATTTACATAAGCCTAAAATATTCCTGGTTGAACACAAGAAATACAAGCTCTTAATGGAGACTGGTGGTTGCCTCAGGGGAGGAGAGCTTGCAAAGTGTGGGGGAGAGATTATTTTCCACCATGTGCCCTTATTTATCATGTGCCTGGACTACTTTATCAAAGTAAGGAAAATTAAAAAGGAAATATTTAGCAGGTTCAGCATCACATAAAAAAGCAGCAGGTGCAAACCAAAGCCAGTAATGAGCAAATGACAGAGACCTGATTCAGGATAAAAAATGTCACCAAATGGACAAACCTGGGGCTGATCAGCGTGAGCGTGCAGACCCCAGGAAGGAGTTCGGGATTTGTTCTACGTGGATCTAATAAACCCAGATAACTGGGCTCAAGTGTCAGAGAATGGGCGTTTAAGAAAAGCGTTTTGGGGGCTCAAAGGAGATGTGTCCCAGAAGAAATGGCACCCTAGCCAGGCAAAAAGGGAAAGCCATTGGGCCAAGGTTTTGATTTCACATGTATTATTCCGTTTGTGGACAGATTTTGAAAGAGAGCACGTGAGCAACGTCAGGCCAGTGGAAAGCTAGGAACAAATTCAGGGAAAAAACAAGTAATGCTGACCCTTGAACAACACAGGGGTTTGGGCTTCGACCGCCACACAGTCGAAAATCCACGTACTGCTATCTCTGCCTCAAAAGCAAAAGAACTGATGAAGGACTCACCCAAGGGTGGGAAGCCAAGCAGTCAGGACAGAATCAAGACTCACACCCTAGTTTTTTGTGATTCCACATACTGTGGTCTGTAATCAAACACAAACTTTCCCCTACACTTAAAGATTGGTCAAATGAAAACACAGGTACTCTATTTACTGAAAAAAATCCACGTGTCAGTGGACCAGAGCAGTTCCAACACGTCTTCTTCAAGGGTCAACTGTAGTGTTGTGGATGTTTCTCAACAGAGCACTAATGGATTTTGGCAGGGACGGCTCCTCCTCCTTGTCAGGACAACCTCAGCCCCCTCCCACCCACTGCCATCGATGCTCCCAAACACTGTGACAACCGAAAGTGCCTCACATACCTCCCAATCCCTCCCAGGAGTGGCACTAGCCTCCTGGAGCACCGCAGAGCTGGAGCATGGGGCACAGTGGACGAAACCCACAGCCCAGCCCACACCTGGTCGACCCCTGGGGCCAGAAAGCTCTCCAGCTCCTCCCACTGCAGTATAAGTCATTCACCTGTGCTTGAGATCTAGGATGATGGTTCCCCAAGTGCTGTCCTCACACAAGCAGCAGCAGCCATCACCTACGAATTTGCTAGAAATGCACATTCTCAGGCTCCACGCCAGATCTACAGCGCCAGAAACTGGAATAGGGCCCAGTGATCAGGGGGTTTAACCAGCCTTCTGAAGGATTAAGGTGCACGCTAATTCGAGATGCTCTAGGTTGCATGTTTGGGGGATGGAGTGTGAGTTCTCCAGCCTAGAGATTCCTGCTGATCTCCTCTCCTTCCTCATCGCGCTACCTGTAGGGTTGGTTCAGAACCCAGGAAGCGAAAGCCAAGCAAGGAGCCAAGGAGAAAGAATGAAAACAGCTAAACACATGACCCCAGGCGACTCCCCATACTTCTCAGGGCCTCAGGGACACACCTGTAAAATGGGAGGAGAGATGGAGAAAAGGAACAGACCAGTTCTTACCCGGAGCCCATGGAAATGCTTCAGGGCCCCATGATCCGCATGCCAAGGTTCTGTACGTGGAGGCAGTTTCTTGGAAAGGGGGGCCAGAGCCTACTTCACCTTCTCACAGGAGACATCAACTCTAAAGATTAAAAAACTACAGGGCCAGAGGATCGTAAAGTCTATTTTAACTCTGCAATTCTTTAATTCCGTGTGAAACGGGGTGGGGGGAATCCCTAGAAATGAATGCACTCATAAGCCACTGAGCGCTAAGGAGACAGTTTTACCTAAGGCCACCAGGAAACGAAAGGGCAGCAGGGTCTAACACAGTGAGAGGAGGAGTCTGTCCCGAGGCTGCCCATACCTAAGAGGATCCCCAACCCTCTAGTCTGAGCAAGAGAGAAAATCCCCAATTCCATTCCTGG